GGCCGCTCACTGCGGCTGCTGGCCGCTCATGCTGGCTGCTGGCTACACACGGTAGCCCATGGCAACCCACTGCCACAGGGGCTGCAGCCCACGCTGTTGCCAGCGACTCACGGCAGCCCAGCTCCAGGTTGAGCCGTTGTTCAGCATCCTAGCTGTAGAGGGCAGTGTCACTGGCCCTCATATGTGGGATCCGAACCAGGGACCTCTGACGTCCCAAGCCAGTTCTTAACGATCGCGCCACTCGGCCTGCCCAAAGCCATTGAGTTTTTAGAGTTAAAAGAGACTTCAGGAATTAGTCCAGTACCAACTTATTACAGATAAGGAAACTGAGGCCCAATGTGAAAAGGCGACTCATCCTAGATTTCATAGCTAGTGTGTGACATCCCTGGTCTGACTTTATATCTAATGCTTTTCAAAAGCTGGTTGCTAGTCTGCTTTGTTCCTAAAGTTATGCCAGTTACTATAATACTTTGATGGGAGTGGCAAATGCATTTTCTGTTAGGCAGAAAATGACTTGTGGCTTACTCATCCCCTCACCACTGTTGTGCAGCAGTCACTGGCAGCAGCTCTGTTTCTGAGGCATTACTATGGTGAGAATAGGCCACTCGGCCTGTTCAGTAGGTTCTGATTTGCCCTATCATTTGGTTTATAGAATTATTTGAAGGGTCCTGAATATAGCCATGTAATATAACACCATACTGAAGAATACCTTCTCAGTCTCGTTCTGTAGATTCTCTGGCAGCTTAGAGACTCTTCACTGCCTGCTATTCCAAGGTCAGCTTGGCAGGGTGTGGCCTGAGGGTGAGGAGAAAGAAAAAATATGAATTAGATAAAATTCAAAAGCAGATTTAAAATTACACCAGTCTTGGTATTACCTCTTCTGGGTTTTCTTATTCAAGAACTATTGCATGCCTCTCAATAGTACTATGAACACTTTGCTGCTGGGAACTAACAGGCCCCCACAAAAACAAAAGACAAGGATTATTGTGGACTTTGTGGAGAGGAAGGTTGCCTGGGACATGGAGCAGACAGGTGGCAGTGTATGTGGTTGGAATGATAGTCTGGTGCATGTGGCTGGCAGGCAGTGTCCTGGGGGCTCAAGGAAATGGAGGTGGAGGCAAGGGACAAGGTGTGGAGCCATGCCCCAGGGTGGTAACTTCTTCACAAGCCTCCCACGGCACCAGGCCCAGCACTGGCCACTGCAGCACTTGACAGCACTCCTGAAGGTGTCTGCAGCTCCAGGGGATGGATTCCAGGTGAAGGGATAGTGGAGCAGAGACTCAGAGTTGACAAGGGACACTCAAGGTCATGAATGAGGCAAAGACTTGAGACATCATGGCAAGAGGTCAGAGCTGTCGCGAGGGGAGCCTGGGAGATGGGATAGAGAGAGGATACCTGCCTGGGACCCACAAGGTTAGGCTTGGAAGTTGAACCTTACTTGGTCAAGCAGGGTGATGACATTTTCGGTTCATAACAGGGGAAGTTATAGGCTGTACCAGGTTTCTTAGGAAGCATCATGTGGCCAGAGAGGAGGCTGCCATGGTGGACCAGGGAGTGAGGAGAGCTAGGTCTAGTCCCCAGCCGGCTCAGAAGGAAAGAATGGGCTAAGGAAGCTCTAGGGAACTTGGGGCCACCTGGTTGTCAGGGAAGAGGAGGGGACATGCTCGTGTTTTCAGGGTTAATTAGAGGGAGAAAAGTGGCAGCTGGGCTTGGAGGGCAGAGGGTGGGTTTGATTGGGATTTAACAACAATGTTGGCAGTAAAGGTTCCATTCCAGGCAGGTTGGGGCTGGTTTACTGTAGTCATCAGCAACAATGGCATTCATAGTCTGCCCACCAGGATTACAGTGTGTAGTAAGGTCAAGGCCTGGGCGCAGACAGGAAGAGGGCCTGGTGGAGAAGCGTCTTCCTGCCTCTGTGTATGAGAATCAGTGGAATGTGTTCCAGTTTTCAGGATTTTCCAGAACCTAGAAAATAACTGAATGTTTGTATCTTGCTATGTGACTTGGATTGTTTCTGTTAGTTCCAAATCCTGAATCTTTTGGGGTCTTTAGTATAAATGTGGGCATATCACAGCAGTAGAAATTATGGGCTTTGTGCTAGCAGTGTGTGTGTGTGTGTGTGTGTGTGTGTGTGTGTGTGTGTGTGTGTGTAGAAATGGGCTTCACCAGGTCCCTCACTGGTCTCCCAGAAGGTGAGGATGCAGACATGCTGGTGATTGCTGAATATCCCATAAATTAGACAATTAAAGGAATTAAATGGAAGGAATCCTTTGTCACAAAATCCTCAAGGAATTCCATTCCAAATGAGGAAATGCAAAAGAACGACTTGAGACCCTCCTTATGAGTGTCAACATGTCCACTTGGCAAATGTTGGGTGTTCAGAAGGTGGTTAGGAATCCCATTCTTCCATCCGCTACCTTGGACCATTGCAGCAGGAAGCCCACATACCTGGTGCTCCTGGCTCCTGACTTGTTTCTTGTCTTTGGATTTTGATGGTATGCTACAAAAACAAAACAAAACAAAACAAAACAAAACAAAACAAAACAAAAATTCTTGGAAGTAATTTTCAAAGGAGAAAAAGAATGTTACATTAAAAGACTGTAGAGGCAGTGGTTTGTTCATTTTTTAAGGCACCACATGTGGCTTGTTGTTTTTCCTCCTTGATGTGAAAGCTGAAGAAGCCCCTGCCCCCTGCCTGCCACATTTCCTGAATGGTGAATGCCCACTCCTGTTCCCACTGTGCCCTTCATGGGTATTTCAGCTCTGCGCTCTGTGTAGTAGCCATGATCTATGAGTGTTTGAGCAGAGTCCCTCATGCGTGCTTGGGCAGCATTTATTAACCTGAACTTGGACTCACTCCATTTGGTCTTCTCCCTTTAAACTGGGGACTCAACCAAATGGTAAAGCGAATGAATGAGGCATTAAAGTTGTGATTGCTTTAAAAAGAATTAGGCAGGAGTTTCCAGTTCAGTCCAGTGAAGGAAAGGGTCTCCTCATCTTGAACTTCAGAAAGGCCTGAGGGAGGCCACGAAGTGGCCAGGGCCTGGGGTGACCCACCAGTTTGCGGATTCCCCTCTCACCAGATAGATAGGTTGCATTATCTCAGACTTGGAGCCAGAGGGAGCCCCACCCCAACCCACCCCCTCCTCCCAGAGGAGAAACTGAAGCTCACTGAGGCCAGAGGTGAGAGTGGCCCAGGTTATGTTTCTGGTCTGTGGCAGAAGCAGTCAGAGCCAGAACCCCATCTCAGCCTGGACTTTCCTGACTTGAAGCGAGGAGAAGTGGGAGGGATTTGAACAGAAATGAAAAACATGGAAGTGGTTCTACGTGATGTCACCAGGCTCCAGCAGTCCCATCTGTTAGTTGATTGGCACTCTGGTACCAAGGACGTGGGGGAGGGAATTGAGTTTCAGGTGGGCATGGGACCCCAAAGGCCCTCCTTCCCCTAGTTCCTGAGACAGACTCTAACTGGTTAACTCCTTGCAACCCCAGGGCATAGGACAGTGGAGAAATGAGGGCTTGGGCCAAGGGTCCCTCCCCCGCCGGACCCAGGCAAAGGGCCAACCCTCTTTGGTCTCGATTGGGCCGCGATAGCGCCCTTAGTGCCGGGTCGGGTTCCGGGCCATGATCATGCATTTTAAGAGGCTGAGCTGTGCTTTCCTCTGCCCGCCGGCATCCCGCCACGGATAGGTCGTCTTTGTCTAGCCCGCTGGGCGGGAAGAGAGCGCTAATCCCTGCTCGGGACCGGCTGAAGGAGGCGCGTCTTGCCCTCCGGGGACTGGCAGGTGGCCTCTCGCGGCACCCTTTGCTCTTGGAGCGGGGTCCTGGGGGGCGGAGGAGGTCCCCTTCGGTGGGTAGGGAGGAGGCTGCAGGAATGAGGACGCGGCGCGCGGCACACCTGCCACGCTTAGGGTGACGGACCAGCGGGCGGAGCGGGGCGCACGGCTCCTCTCGGCTTGGCTGCGCTCAGAGCGCGCGGGCTGGCCGCTGTCCGCGGTGCTGAAGGGGCGGCCGCGGCGGGGAGGCGGGCCCGGGGCCGCGGGGCAGCACACACCCAATCCGGGGACCGCCCTTCTCCCGTGCTTGGCGCGGCCGGCACTGCACCGAGATGGACTGAGAGCGCAACGGCGGGAAGGCGGCGGCGGCGGCAGCTGCAAGCATCCCCGCAGCCTCGGGGCCGGACCCACTTCCACACCCGGGAGCCCATCCCTGGGGTGAGTTGGAGCAGGAGGAGCAGGGTTGGGGAAGACGGGTCCTGGGACATAGGATCTCTTGGGCTTTTAAATTTTCCTTCCCTATTGTAAATTTCTTCCAGTCCTCGTTTTGAGAATCCTACAGGGCTGAGGGCTCAAATCTCTGCCTTGGTACTTACCCAATCCTGAGATAGAGGGCAGGCCCCTCTGTCCTGGGATAGAAAGCAGGTTTTAGCCAGAAGTCTAAGGACAGTCACACAGTATATCCTCCTCCCCACCCTAGTTGCAGCTCACTGCCTGGCAATGGGAATAGCTCTTTGCCGGAACTGCTGTCACAGGGGCAATACCTTTCCTTCTCTGTACAGAGGGCTGACCCCAGGCAGCCCAGCCATTGGAATTCAGCCCAGACAGAGGCCAGCCATCTTTTAGCAGGGAAAGCAGGCTTGAGCCTTCACTGGGGCTGCAAGCTAGTGGTAGAGCCTTTTCTCTGCCTTCCTCCAACCTCCTTAGGCACCTGAGCTGCCATGAGATGAGCATGGCTTCAGGAGCAAGGGTCACTTCAGTGCACTTGGCTGTTGGGAGCTGAACTCAGGCAGAGGAGCTCTTGAGTGGATAGTGGGAAGGTATTCCCTGCTAGTTTGTATGTGTGCATGTGTGTATGTGTGTGTGTGTGCGTGCACATGTATGCACGTGCACGCGCGCGCGCGCGCGCGTGTGTGTGTGTGTGTGTGTGAGTTTTCCTAGCACGCAAAGGGGATTTTAAACTCTGGTAGTGCCTGTCACAGGAAAAGCCCTTCTCCAGCCAGCTTGTGCCTCTGAGTAAGCAGTTTGGGGTCATGCTGGGCAACTACCCAGCCAGAGGAACCTTGGGCTTCCTAGATCCTTAAGGCTTACCCCCTCCTGCCTTGAGCCATCTACTAAAGGGGGAGATGTGTTTAAACTTGATGGGTCACCTCTGCCTTCGATCCCACCAGCATTCGGTTCCCACCTCCATCACCTGGCAAGGTCAGACAGATAGACCTCTTGACTCCTAGAACCTGATGGGAAGACTATTGGGGGGGGGCTTTCCTTCCTCAGCAAAGGACTTTTGGTGTGTTGGGAGGTAAGGGGTTGGAAGGAAGGGGGTAGAGGTGGAGAGACCATCCTCCAGAGCCCTGGAGAGGTCTAGTTGTGCTAGATTCCAAGCCATGTGAGGCGCCTGTTCTAATCTAATGGATGTAAATGAAGCTTCTGAACCTTGACAGGCTCATGCTGGAGGATTGGGGTCTGTGTTTTGTTCTGTCTGTGTAGCCTAAGCTGTGTGCATCAGAAACGACTCTGATGGGCAGGTTCCTTCAATTATCAAATGCCTGGCAGGGCCGATGAAATGAAAGAGAGATGGAAAAGATGTGTGAGAGAATGTGTTGGTTTTAGGGTCACTGTGAGCTGCAATGATGCTGCAGTGCTGATGGAAATGCATGCCAAGAGTGTGCTAGCATTACTTGCATAAAGCAGACCACTCGGTACCCGGGTACCATTTGTCTCTGGCCAATGTTCTGTAGAGATGAAAGGTCATAAGGGGAAAGTATAATAACTGCACATCTGACATATACTCAATTTATATTTTTCTTGACTGGGTTTTTTTGTGTGTGGTCAAGAAAAGCATTTTGTTTTCGGTAGATAAGTTTTTACCTACCACATAAACACTTTGTGTTTTGGACTGATTAATAAATTGCTTTTAGAGAGTGATTGTCTGGAAGGATGACTAACTCATAACTGTCCTTTGGCATCCTTGCTGACTTGTTTCATTAAAATGTGAAGTCCAAAATGTATAATGACAGGCCAGCTAAGCAGCAGGCCATTACTTTTGTTTTGGGAAACAGTGTATTTGAGCTTTGCATGTTGTTTGTTGTGAAAATACATTTATAGCCCCAAAGTTTTCTATAACTAGAATCAAGTTAGGATATATATATATATACATATATATATATATATATGTATATATATATATATATTCCGGGGGTGCCAAAAAAATGTATGCACATGACTTGTATTCATCTTTTGTTATCAATATATACTGAGTATTACATTTTAATACAGTTTTTTCCTTTTATAAAATGTGTATACATTTTTTGGCACCGTGTGTGTGTGTGTGTGTGTATACATATATATAAAATTTTCCACACCTGTGATGCAATGAGGCTACCTATTTTTATTCATAGTCTGAGCAACTTAAAACCTCCTCAATAATTAACACGGGGTCAAGTTCTCCTGTGTAACTGAGGACGATACCATTTGCGTGTTGACTGAGTGATACACAGTCCTAGATCCAGCTCACAGTTTCTGTTAAGAAGTCCTGCCCTTGGTTGCATCACTTGTGCAAGCCTGCATCTTATATGCCCAATTATAAAATGTGTATGAAAAATATGAACAGAACCTTTATGACTGGATTTCTCAAGGCCAAGGCAGAAAACAAACATATAGTGATAAATATTTAGCAATAGAACAAATTTCATTTTGATGAACACAATTGGTCTTGGGTTGTTGGTAGAATAGTATTAGGGATGGTGGCAACAGCTGTGTTCTATAAAGGAGTGAAAAAGAGGCTCAGCTTTGTAGATTAAAAGACCTCTGTTCAAATTCCCATTTTCCTCTTAGTAACTGTATGCCATGACTTAGTCTCTCTGAGCCTCAGGTTTTTTTGTAACACAGAGAAAGTAACATTTGCCTGGTATATAAACTAAGCACAGAATTGTAGTTGCCCAGTGTTCACCTTAATGTCTCTTGCCGTCGTCTTCCAGCACTGGTGTTTACAGGAAAATAAGCATGTTAAGACAAAAGTCCTCTCACAGGGATGTTTATAATCAAACCATCAGGGTCATGAAAGGACTCAAAAGTTAGCCTTGGGGTAACCTGGCCCTGCTGGAGGTGGTATTCCCAAGGTGGGGACTATCCTTGGGTCTGCTGTCATCCAGGGACCTTGGCTGACCAGTAGTGGAGCTTGGGCAAAAGGACAAGGGGACTGTTCTCTCCAGAAGGAATGGAGCTTAAATGCAAAGACCCTGAGGGGCCCCTGTTCAGAGAAACCCGTTCTGGGAAAGGATTTGTGGTAGCAGAGGTTTCGTTGCAGGGAGAGGCTGCCGAGTCCCTCCTGAGGTTCTCTTTCTGATGCTGGGTTTTCCTCCAACAATGTATGTATTCTGCTTATGTCCCGCGTTCCCGTAGTAATAGCAGCTAACAATGGGAGGGAACTTCCTTCAGGCCAGGCTTTCCTCTAGTAACTCAGTTCTCATTACAACCCTGTGAGATAAGAACCATTACCATCCCTGTGACACAAATGAGGAAACTGAGGCTCAGAGGGGTTTAGATCACAGGTGCCCAAGGTCTGACTGCCGCACCTGCCTCTCCAGCACGAGGAGAGAGAGCCTCACAGATGAGCTGATGGCACAGAAAGCAGGAAGTTTACGATCCAATGCTCCATCCTCACACTGAGGCAGCAGCACCCTCCCTTCCAGTCCGGTCAGATCATCCCATCCTTACCCAGGGATGGGGTTTGTGATCTGGCCACAGGGACAGCAGCCACAGCTATAAGCAGAGCTGGAAGGTGGAAGGCCCTTGGAAATTAATGAGGCTTACCTCTCAGTGTATGATAGAGCCTGAGGCCCAGAGAGGGAATGACTGACTCATCCATGGTGGTGGTGGTGGGGGGGGGTCTTTATTCTGTCCCCCAGGACAAGAGCCCCTCCTATTGGACTGCTCCTCTCTGAGGAGCCTGAGGTGTTGCTCTGTCAGAAAGGGCTCCCCCTAAGTCCAGGAACCTCTTCTCATCCCAGAGATGCCTCCGAGGTGTGCAGCTCCCTCTGCCCCTGGCTCCCCTGCTGGGGAAACAGCCCCATCTGGCCTCTGCTGGCACATGGTCACATTTGCAGACTGCATTGATTTTCATCTCCTGGGGTGATGAGGTAATTTAAAGGTTATTTAGTTGAGTTTTTAGTTCCCTTGGTTTGAGACCTTTTTCCAAAAATGCCTCTGCTAACAGCCTGGGAAATAGGCACTGATATAAAAAGACATGCTTATTGCCCATCAACTTGAATTATTTATGAACCGTGTGTACCTCTTATAGCTGCTTGGTACACGTGCTCCGCCTCAATGGTTACTTAATGAGTGTCCCCAGGAGCTTGCTTTTTTTAATTGAATGGCACTTCATGAGGCTAACCCTATTGCCACTCCTGCAGGCATGCTATTCTTCCCAGGCTGCCATTTTCAGTCACTGGCCCCCATCCTCTTATGTCACCCACCTTGAAGCTCAGTCCCTGTAATCCTTAGCTCCTCACTTTCCTTGCCCCGTGAAGGCCTTGCCCTGTCCATTTTCCTACCACATTTTTTCCGGATTCTGTCCTTTCTCCCAGGCCATGCTGCCACAGCCCTGGTTCAGTTCCTCATTATCAGTTGACTTTCTGCAATATCCTTCGACCTAGCTGCCTCCCTGCATAGGGTGGGCCCCTTTTAGACTTGCCCCTGTATGTCTCAGGCAGATGAATCTTTCAGGAGCACTGGTTCTGCGTTTGTCATTGCTCTCCTGACAAGCTTCCCTGGCCCCCTGCCCTCCAGCATGAGGGCAGATGCCTCGTCTGGCCTGGAAAGCCTTTCTGCGGGCTGGCTCAGCTCCCTGCACTGCGAAGCACAGAGGCCAGGCCTCTCATGCAGCCTGGCTCTCTCTCGTCCTCTCCCATGCAGCATTTCTTCTTCTGCCTGGACATGTCCCTTCTCTCACACACACCCTCCAGACCCAGCTGCAGTACTGCCTCCTCCAAACTACCTTCCTCCGCGGACTCCCCTCCCTCTCCCCGCTCCCCACAACCTGCACCCAGAGCACACTGGCTCAGTCATTCATTCACAGGGATCAGCTGAGCCTTGCCGCACGTCATGCTCAGTGCTGGGTATCAATAATGCCAGTGAGTGTTGTGAGTCGTAGTGTGTCTCCCCAAAAGATATATTGTAGTCCTAACAACCAGTGCTTGTGAATGTAACTTTATTTGGAAATAGGGTCTTTGCAGATGTAATCAAGTTAAGATGAGGTCGTGAGGGTGGTCCCTAATCCAATACAACTGGTGTCCTTATAAGAAGCGGGCACTCAGACACACACATGTAGGAGAAGGTCATGTGACCACACAGATACACAGGGGAAGGCCACAGGAAGATGGAGGCAGAGATTAGAGTTATGCTGCCACAAGCCAAAGAGCTCTTGGGGCCACCAGAAGCTGAAAGAATCAAGAAAGGATTTTTTCCCTACAGCCTTTGCA